CTAATCGCGTATTATCGAGGATTTAGTGTTTGTGGCTTTGCAGGATTTGAATGAAGATGGTGACGAAGAGGACAGTAGTTCCTTCTATGACTCTGTGATGCAGTGCTCTGGAAATTTCTTCAAGGTAGGCAACATGGATGCTGCTTACAGTCTGCGTCTTCAGCCCTTTCCTCAGCGTCCAAAATAGTCTAATCTTCAGCTTTTTGTAGCTCTGTTTCCACCTGTTAGATGTAGTTCCCATCGTTCTCTCTGACCAGTCGATTGGCTACATGAAAACGAAGCATCTACCTGATTTTTTGCGGTTGATTACTGCACCCATTTTATGCATGACTGCTTCTTTTAGGTTTACGGATCTGAATGTTTGCCACATTTCGACGCTCACTTGCGGCTACCGTATGGTGCGCTATTGGCTCATGACCAGACGAGCTACTATGGAAAGGTGATGCCTACTTCTTAAAGGAGACGCCTGTTCTCTGACATAGCATTACCGTCACTTTTCGCACGAAATTATGATTTTCTTTTCATTCGTGGTCTACAGGTTGCAGCTCTGTGCCTTTATGCTGACGCTATTAACTTTGGAGACCCTAGTGCCACGCTAGAGTATAGCAAAGTGTTACTCCCCGCGGCGCTGCTGGCTATTAGCCCACAAGCAGAGTGGGCCATTGATGAAGAGCACGCACTGGTCGTCTCAGCGTCAGTGTACGGCTTGGGTAAGTAAGCATTTTTTTAAAAAAATAGAGTCAGCTGATGCGTAATGCGTAAAAGGTTGCCCCTTGAGTTCTTTGCTTGTCCTGTTGATCGCTCACTGCGAATTCGCTGCAGTAAAGAGTTTGCTGCTTGTTGCTACTATCCGGCTGAAGTAATCCACAGCCTCCTCACCGCAGTTAGATTTTGCTGCATTGTGGCATCCCAGTTGAACCAGTGAAGCCACCGCTGTGTGGGGCAAGCGCACCCGCCACAATGCAGAGATGATCCCTGATAGTCTAAACATTTGAGAGTATCTTCTGGCTACTGTATCTGTTTGCAGGCGTTGTCGCACAAAGGCATCCTGAATTGTTTTCCTTACAGCTGCAGTCAGCCGTTGAGACCTTGGAAAGGTGTCTTGCAAGCCCGCTGCTGCGGACGGAGGTAGGTAGGGCGGCGGCCGATGGGGCTGCCTGCGCCTTTCTCAAGGTCCTTACCGAATTTGGAAGAGGCCAAGGCATTGAAGGGGCGTCTGCAAAGTTGGCCAAGCTCTTAGAGACGTGGTGAGAAACACAGTGAAGTGTCTTCTTCCACGTAAGCTTTGTCAATTGTTTAGAGGCTGAGTGCAGCGTTTCTCTGTGGATCTTTTCTATTGTAAACAGGTTTCCCCTAATGGATGATGAACAAGAGATCTACGACGCCCATGAATTATTACTACAGATGTCTATTCAGGGTCATCCTCTATGCTCAGATCCCGCAGTGCAGCAACAGCTTCGGCGGTTAATCGTGGATACTTTTTCTGAAAAGCCTGATTCGTTGGGGCAGAGGGCGAGACGAGAGCTACTGCAGGCAGCTAAAATCAAGCTTAGCTGAGCTCTGCCGAGCCCTAATTACAATTTGGCCCCCTAACAACGGCTTGACGTCTACGATAATCTGCCACGGATGGCTACAGGGGCAAAATTTTAAGTTGCAGAAGCAATTGAAACTTGACGCAGTCGGAATGTCCGGCCTGCGCCTGTACTCGCAAGCAGATTCAGGAGGCGTGCCATTACGTTAGATCAATTAGTTTGTTCATTTGCCCGAGCAGCTGCAGTGGAAGGCGGTCTCCTTCCCAGTAAAGTCCTCAAGTGTGCGGCTACCCTTTTGGCTGTTCCAGGTGTGCAAATCGAAGCTAAGTCATAAATGGGTGGTTACCTTGCACACATCTGCATACTTGCAAAATGCGTGCAATTGGGCAGGAAGGAATCGTCTCCTCGTCGTAGTCGCAGGTGCACTGATGCCCTTTAGGCAACTTGCCCATAGAGCGACGAAGTCGGGGACGAGCCGTTGTTGCTGCCAGCGCAGTCGGCAGGGATACTCCTGCAACGTCGACCTTGGCAACAGCAACCTGTCAGTTTTCTGTCATCAAGAAGGCTTTCTTGAATGAAGTGAACGAATTACTTTCTTTGACACGGGCGCCCGACGGGCACTGCCAACTTCGAAAAGTTTGCAGGTTGGCTGGCTGTCTTCAGGGGTTCTGTTGCTAGATTTAATGCTGAGACGCCTGGCGTCGTCTAGCATACAGTAAGTGTACAAAAATGAATTAGGCAACTTGTGTTTCGGCCTACCGTTGCCCTCGGGTGGCACTTCAGTTGAAAATGGCGAAACGCAGCCCGTTGCAGCCAACAGCTTGGGCGCCTGTGATGCGACAATCGGGCCGTTGTCGGTTTTTGGGGCTATCCATGGGCTTTTCGACCAGGTAGGCCTTGTGTCCGGTGCCAGGGGAGGCGCGCAGACCTCACGGCCCCAAAAGCCATCAACCGTAGATTGCTTAGTACTGAAGGGAGAACTGCGCCACACATTTCTGAGAGATCCCAGCCGGATTGCAACGTAAGGCGTTCCCTTCTCTGCATCTGTAAAATGGACGCATTGGGCTGCAAAAATCCACAGCGCTTGCTATAATAGCCCTACCCCGGGTTGAATCAGGGTACAAAATTGCTATTGCCTGTGCAGCGTCAGCATGGTCAGAAAAGACACTGATAGGAGACGGAATAGACACGTGCATCAGCATTGCTAAGTTTTCCGAGCTCCGTTGTTGCATCGCGCGAAACTGGCATCTTGGGTTTCCCGTACCAGGTGATGCCATCGCCGCAGTGTACGGACAAGGGGTTCATTTGTATGCTGGAGCACGTATGTACGGGAATTCGGGCTAAATCATTGTCAATCGTTTCAAAATGCAAGGATATTGGGGGAAGATGCGCTTGAAACGTGAGTTCTATTAACATGATCATTTACTGCCGGAAAGAGGCCGCCTAGCGGAAATCGCTACCACTATCTGCCCGCATGAACTAAACGAATCCGCAATAGTAACAAAAAAATATGTACTGGCCAACTTGGAGCCCAGCCTTGACTACTGGGGCTGAAATAGGTGATCGGGAAGATCGCGCTTTCCTGTGTAGCTTTCAGCAGCGCCTTTCTTGGTCACTGACTGCGCTGCCACAAACGTTGCCCTTGAAACAGCCAATTCCGGAGAAGCTGGCATCTTCAGTAAAAAGTAGGCAAGAGAACCAGCGAACGAATCACCTGCCCCCGTCGTATCCACTACAAGTTCACTCGGAACTGTCTTCGCCACTGGTACCTGAACGATCCTTTCATTTGCAAACAAAACACAAGGCTGGGACCCTTGCGTGATCACAACATTGGCTCGACCCCGCAGCCCCTGAGGAAACTTTGAAGCAGTCCGCAAAATTACTTCATGCAGTTGACGTGCGATTTCTTCAACGTTGGTCTCGCTGGCGATACTTTCGTTTCCCCATATCTTCACGAGCAACCTTGCCTCCACACTGTTGCAAAGCAAGAAATCCGTGAAGCAGCAAATCTCTGGATTAACTCGATCAACCGGCGCAGGAGTGAATATCGTCATAACTTGGGAGTTCCCCTCCTTGGCAATGCGGAAACATTCAACTGAAATTTCCCCAGGGATGCCATTTTCCGAAACGACCACCTTCGCGTTCCTAAGCAGCCTGGACAACAACAACGAGTAATAAAGAGCTCCGTGAATGTTCACATTCTGACGCAGATGATTCTGTCTGGGCTCCCAAACTCTCTGAATTAAACACGCAAGATAGGCAGATCTGCCAGAATGCTACGTCTACGCACAGCAGAAAACTGCAAATACATATCCAACGCAAGGAAGTTAAACAGACATGCGGTAGCTTACGATACAGCAGGCTCAACGGTAATGTGCTCTCTGCTTAGGGATGCATTGGCACCAGGCACGTAAGCAATGGTGTTTTCTCCGCCGTGAGCCACAGTGACGAGGGCGGTGCCGGTGCGCTTGTCCGAGTCCATGGAGATGCCCCTTGTCTCAATACCAAGGGAATGGAAGTGGCGAATAAAACTCAATCCGGCAATATCTCTTCCCACTCTACCAACCATTGCGACGCCACAAATTGGTGTCCGCCTTTTGGCCGCATCGAGGGAAGCGTTGTCAACAAGCGTAGCAGCAGCTGCTCCATTTTCGCGAAGTGCACCTTCAGCACTTTGGCAAGAGCCGCTAAAGGCGCATTCGTGGAACAGTGTTTCAGAAGGTGCATCCCTGAACTGCATTAGCAGAGCAGCCTGGGCAGCTTGGTTGGCCCCTTTGCCCCCAAAATGCGTCTCCAGTGCATCGGAGAAAACTGTCTCTCCCACACTTGGCAGACGAGGAACGAACGACACGAGGTCCGTATTGATGCACCCCACTACCACAATATCAGTAGCTGCATCCATTTTCACTTCAGAATGCTCATTCTGTAGCATCGTGTTCTGAAAACTGGCTTTGAAGCGGATACGTACGTATAGTTGATTTTTGTGAGCCTGCTCAGATCTCTTCAATAAAGAAAAGTGTGTCGGTCTTTCTGGGTCCATATAGTGCAAAACATCTGCACCCACAAGGCGAGAAGTAGCGCTTCGTGGCTACAGTGTGGTGTGTGAATGGCTTGTGCACGCTGTGCCTTTCAAATATTTGAGTTCAAGCAATTCTTTGAAGACCAACAAATAGAATAGAGTTATTTTTCGATGAGACCAGTAACAAGCCCAGCAGCTGTTTGCATGCAACCTGACATCAGATCTAGAGCCCCAGTCCTTCTACCGAGCGTGGCGCACCGATTGATCTAGAGTAAAGGCGACACACAAGTAGACCAATCATCGCCTTGAGAGGAATCTTCGCCTCCTCTGTTTCAGTAGGACTGCTGAACAAGGCGATTCTAGAGTGGCTAATCACGTAGGACTTCGGAGGCACGGTGACGGGACAATAGAACGCATTTATAGCCCCCTAGTGCGCCTTCGAATCCAAAATGGGTGCTGCTCTCAGCAAGAAGAGTTTCTGGGATGGAAGCCTTCAGGTAATAGTATCGTTGTTGCTTCGTCTCTGCAGTAGAAGCGACTGTTAGCAGCGCCTTCCGGGTGGACTACAGATGTGAACACTTCGGACTTGAAGTTTCCTCCCTGTGGCGTCTGCTCCTCTAATGCAGTCGCGTATAAACTGTGCAAGCTCTCAACAATGCACAGGTAGTAATCCACGGCTGTTGCCCCGTGTACCTTTGACGCCGCCGTTGCTTGTAGACAGTGGAGCTTACACGGCGGACAGATTCGACTCTTTGACTAACGCCTTGCTTCAAAATGCCTTCGAGCCCGTTTGTTTGCAGGTCTGGAGCCGCTGCTGTTCTGCATGGAATGGGTGGCTTCACCCAACGCTGCACTATGGTGCGGTGCCCCTCATTTTTGCTGTGGGCCTTGCGGTTAACAGCGAGCTCACGGCAAACCCTGTAACTCTTTTTCGGAAGCTCATATTGAACTGATTGTAGCCCTTTATATTGCAGCCGGACGGTCCCAATATTTGCAGCTACACCACGCACCAGAACAAAAGCCTCCACAGAAGTTGCGGTCTGCCTTCGACATCGATGGCTTCACGACACTCCTGACCGCGCGTGTGGCCGGAGCACCCCTTGCTGTTTCCCACTTGTTATTCTTTTGGCACGGCAATATTTGACTTGTTGAGGTGGCTGCCAGTGCCTTCCGAGCGGCACCTCACGAGGAAGCCAGCGCTCCGTGTTGGGGCCACGAGAGCATGGCCAAATCGACTCACAGCCGCCCCTTCGCCAATTTGGGTGGCGAACAGCGTCTTCTCTATCCTAGACGACGTGCTAACCGTGCTTGGTGGTGGTACTTGCTCTCAAGTGCTGCGATTGTGGCGGCGTGCCACGGAAGGCCACGGCTGCGCGGCTATATGGAAGGCCCAATGGGCTCTCCCCTACATACTAAACTATGCATAATCCTGTTTTTCCCCGCAACAACTCTGATGCGGTTACTGCTGCCAAACTACACAGGTGATCCTGTACAGGCTGTCCATATGGCCACAATACCGAAAACGACTGCAAGCAGCGCTTCGTCTCCACACCTGACAGACACGTACCCATTGTCCCCTTCTATCCAGTGGCAGCGCACAAATACGCATCCCCCCAAACCCATCGGGCTGAGCCACACGCATACGGTGGCAGCGGATGCATTGCTTTTCGCAAAGCTCCCTGACCACTCTGTCAGGAGTCAGCTAGCCCTGGGCAGATCGATGCCAACGCAGCCTAAACATATGAAGTAAAATTCATGTCCAAACGGACGAATACACCATGAAGCTGCATGCGACGGAGAAGGCTTATGACTTGCTTCACTTCGACGCGTAGCACTGCACTCGCCCTGGGTGGTCCAAGGTACCGAAACTGCGTGACAACTGGTGAGGCCGGGCAAACGGTGGCTTAACTGGATGCCCACCTCACACGAAGCAACGTAAACAACACAACTGTTACGGCTAATCCAATGGTTACTTCTCTCAGGAATTACGTGATCTAAACAGCGATGCGTGCGTGATTCACGCTACTTCGGAGACCTGTGGAGCTGCATTTTCCACAGAAGGTTCAGAGGCTTCGCATCAGTTCCTTGGGCAGCTGTTCTCCGTCTTATGGTTGGCGCTTGCTACGTTATCGCTCGGTGCATCCAACGGGTTCCTCGTGAGTTCACTAATGCTTCTCCCCAGCTTTCTCAAGCGCGACGCGATTCGATTTCGTGCATCCTGCACGAGCGTAGGGACTTTCAGCTTCACGCAGTCTTCACTCCTTTGGATGCTACGGGGCTGCTTCGTCCGGAACACGTCAAGAATTGTCTGGGGGTCTGCGCCTTCGAATGCTACCCTGTATGTCGACATGAATAGCGGAAATAAGTGCTCGACTTCGTTCGCACGTATCACGTCAGCCACAAGTTCAAGCGTCGCCGGGCCCTAACAGTAGATCAGAAAAAAGTCACAACACAACGTACAAACGCTCGCAGTTGGAAAAGAAAACATGAACACGCACTATGTAACAAAAAAACGCCTGAAGCGAATGCCCCTCCCCCGCAAGTGCCAGGGCGGCCACCATCGATCCATATCTGTATACCTGCAGTTTCTGGCCATTGAGCATTTCCCTCTCCAGTTCATCCCAGCCTTTGCCCTTCTGCCGCACGAATTCAGCAGCTACCTTAGAGTTACGTCCCCCAAAGACTGTAGTGATTACATCAGCATAGCCCGCGCTGTCATACAATGTATCCTGCAGCAATTGTACAAACAACCGCAAGCCATGTCGTTCTCTTCCTTGAGCGCAGACTTCGCGTCGAAACGTAGAGTTGTGGTGTCATAACCACCTATTGGCTGTGCTCGTCAGCCCTATCCACGTTACTCACAGCAAGGAGGTCACCAAAGAAGGTCATAATAAACGTTTTAATCTCTTCAACTCCAAGTCGTAGAATTGCCGCCTTCGTGTTGGTACCCTGGCCCATTCCTTCACAAAATCCACCAGCAAGTGCAACGACGTTCTTCAGAGCTCCACAGACCTGAAGTGTTGAACAGAAAGATCCACAAGTTTCAGTGGCTACGGGCAAGCCCAGCTGTTGTGCCACCAGCAATGATGACACGTGGAAAAAGCGTCGGGAGGAGCCACGTTGGCATGACACAATTCCTGGCTCACCTCGACCCCGTCAACGTCCGGGAGCACATTTATCTTGAAGTTAGGTCTGTCAAAAAGCAGTTGCCACAACGCGGCCGTTTCGGTTTCCCCATCCGGATGACCAATGGTCGCCTCCGCGAAGTTCTCAGCGGCGACATCATTGGCCACATTGGCACCTATCAAGGAACGCAGCGAAATACATTACATTGCATTGCATTTAAGAGACAAAGAGGTTAATGCCATGTGCAGCTCGCAAAACTGGCTAGTCTTCATCCACAATTTCCTAACACAAACGAAGCCAACACACGACACGAGCTTACCAGACAGAATGCAAGGCTTGGGGAGATCCAGGATACTGCCTATTTCATGCGTCAGCGTAATCGGCCAGCCATTCCTCACACCTATGCCCTTGATAAGCGAGATCGCCCGGGTGTGGGGAGGCAGCAGCTGGGCTTTCTTTAGTTCCCGACAGGCTTTCTGCTCACAATAAGACCCAGAGGTCGACTTACTCTGAGTCTCTCGTTGTCACCCCGCTGATCTTGTCAAATCAGCACTGACAAGGGGAAGGCACATAAGCTTAATGAGCTACAATGCCTGAACAAGCACCCCTGTGTCAGATGCTCTGGCTTTCTCGCTGTAAGCTGCAGGTGGGGAGTCACCTCGATGAACTGGTGAGGCATGACAAAGACCAAGAGGTCCGCATCTCTGCATGCATCCGTTAGGGATGGAACAGCTCGCAAATTTGAGGGCAGTTCAAAGCCAGGAAGATACTTCCTGTTCTCATGGTTGTTGTTTATCCAGTCGGTCAACTTGCGGCCCTCAACCTCCTCCTCAAAAACCCACATTCGGACCTGCGAGCGCAGCAACACACAGAGAGAAAAGGGCTCCACTACTCATGCCACGCAGCGCCGGACCGCCGGACGTTTCCTACAACACAGCCATTGTCCCCCTGCTGGCAAAAGAGCGTGGGCATCAGATACGATGCAGAGGACACAGCGCTTATGCCAGTGGCATTGAGAGCACCGTGGAAGCGTCCCACATCTGTGTTAAATATATGCGAGTCTTTCGCATTGGCAGCGACGATCTTCCCGACAGCTGTTCCCCAGTTGCCAGAGCCAACCAGAGAGACCTGAAGTGACACACTCATGGCAGTCAAGCTATGCATCGACAAACAATCTGACAGAGCGGAGTTCCTTGAGGAGCTCCAGAGAGATGTGGCCACACTAGCTCCAACGTCGCACGCTTGTAGTCTCCCTGCTTCGGTGCGGTAACCCTCCCTTAGCTTCAACAAAATGAACAAACGTGCACAAACGACGTAGCCGAAAGGTGGCACAATGCAAACTACCTTCTCAGATGAGCTCCTGACTGACGCCGCGCCACTTGATTGCGTCAAGACAGGCTCAGGTGAGGGTACAACACAAAAAACCAAGTTTGCGCCGCCGCGTGCAGGGGCCGCTTGTGTCGGCTGAGGCTTAACCAACTCTTAATAGCCCAGTAACTCACCTTGAGAGGCCCCTTTTGAAGAGCTTGGAGAAGTGGGGGGTAGGCGGACGCCGGGCGCAAGAATGCCTCCATACTTTCAGGCGCCAACAGGAACGAAAGACAGACCAAGAGCACCGCGTTCCAGACCCGTAGACCCATGCGAGGCCAGCGAAACCCCTGATGGTACGAACTGGAAGCCGTGGGGACAGTGACAATCTTTGATTGCCAACTTCCGTGGAAGCAGTTGCACCTTACTGTGCCAGGCCTCCGTTGGTTGCATATGCCAGTCAGTCTGGGGCTCTGTTGTAGCATTGATATGGAAAATATATAGCTCCTCAATAAAGAATCTTGCAGCGTACTTAGCTGCAAGGATTACAGAATGGACCTGCCTGCACATGTCATCTGTTTAGTCCAATTTTGCATAACTTCCTGTCAAAGAAGAGACGAGTGCGAGGGTATCGGCAAGAAACCTGCTCAGCCCGAGGAGAAGCAATTAAGAGGCCATCTTACAACCGATGATCTGGACTCTCATCTTAAGATATCTGCGTCAGGCGCAGTGGACGACAGGTGGTACAGCGTAGAGGGAAGCGCCACACACCGCACACAACACACCAGGGGAACAGTAGCTCGCAGCCCTACCTACCACTACGTTCGCATTGTCTCATCCTTAGTGAGCGTGTCATAATTCATATTAATTTGCAATAAATATTCAGGGAAATGAGATAAGGTCATGGAAGTCCACTGCAGCCCTCGCAAAACGCGAGACGCCTTTTTGTCTCATGAACGGAGCAACTGCCACCTACGTGCCGCAGCCGAAAAGGACAACAGCGAGCAAACAAGTCCAAACACTAGGATAGAAATGTCGCACATGTCAGACCCTCAATATTCATCTTGAGTTTAGCTATAGGCATTAGCACAGGGGATGGCCTTGCCTCTGCAGTGGGCTTTTACCGCTCCGTTGCTCATCCAGAATCGTATCCAGAACGGGTGTGGAAGGCGACTTCTTCGGTGGCTGCAATACGTTGTGCAAGAATAGTAGTTAGAAAATTAGCGGGTTTTGTAGCAAGTAAGGTTTCATGACGGCATTTGTATAAGGCTGTGTATGTTTGTGTAGTTCCCTGCATCGTGGTGTCTGGGGGGCGTCGTTGGGAAGGTGTAGAATGTCGTGGAAGCCGTGCAGCACTCTAATTGCTTGACAGAATGTTACGTTTATTCGTGTATTTGTACACGTGGGGGCGGGTTCTCTTGTCTGTGCAACCCGATTTCTCTGCGGCTGGAGCCCGTTTAGGTGTAGGGAAGTATAATCTATTTGCACTTAGCGAAGGCCTTGCTGCTCAAGGCAACAAACTGTATTTTTGCGGTTTTCAAACACCTTTCGAGGGAAGTTGTATCCTGCATGCTTAGTAGATTGCCCATGAGGCCAAAGGCGCTTCAGGCATGTCCCGGATACAAGCCACCTACCCAGGGTAGCCAGTAAGCTCACGCGACGTAGACTGCGGCTGTTTAGAATGTCTAGAATGCAGTGCAGTAGATAAAG